TAAAGGTTTGGCTTATACTTTTTTTCCTAAAAGAATATGTATTCTACAAGGAAAATATGTAAACAAACAACTTTTTGTCTCTCACTGTTGAGAAGTTTAACTGAATCCTTCAACACCACAGTTGGCCTATTTGCCTGGTTACAACTAGTTCTCTTTTCATCTTCTCACGCCAATAACTTCCTGCTCTGAGTTTATCTTAATACTCCTCATAGACTTGTATCAGTCATGCGATACTGTCTAGTGCCTACTGGCATCTTGACATGTAGGATTTGCTTCATAATTCTATATTGGTATGATCATGACACATTTTACTTATTACAGGAAAGGACTAGAAGCTGCTACACAATTCCCTAAATCTAATCATAAGCAAAAATTACTAATAATACATTCTTATCTCAGCAATTAAAAATATAGTCCAGTGAAATATACTTTACATAGGTATAACACTGGTGTTATATACTGTTTTCCAAGAGCTCTCAGCTTATATCTAACTATAGCACAACAAGAACAATGTTTTTTTTGGCTCTTACGTTGGAAGCATTAACCACAACTGGGAGCATTTGCAAATTTTCAGTGAAGTTCCTTCCTCAGTTCCAGGAGTCTCCTCTGATGTCTCAACTAAACTTTCAGGATGTTTAACCTGTTGCATCCTGCTTTAATTCCAAGGTATAAAGCCTTCTGGAAAGCTCCAAAACGTCTTAGTCTTTCAAGAAATAAAAATTTACAAGCTGATGTCTATATGAAGAAATGCATCCTATAAAAATAAGGTAGGAACACACTACATACAATTTATTACACAATACAGCATGGAACAAAGGTCAGGGAATATTTCTAGCTAAATCTTCTCTAATACGTGTACAGTTCTTTAATGGAGTTTGGTATATTAGAGGAAATTGTAATTGTATCTGTTAATGAAATCTTGCACTTTAAGTGCTTATATCAATGTCTGTGTTCAGTTGGGGTTTAACAAGGGAGATGCCAAAGTTTTCTTGTACTGTCTGCTTTTCCCTGACATTTTAACCAGTTCTTGCAGTGAACTTCAAAGCAGTCACAACTATCTCAAACCAACTCCAAAAGCATGAATGTTTACAGCAAGCAGACTTGCATCTTTATAACTGGTATTCTCAGACAGTAACAATATGATATTGATCAGATATTTGTAGAAAGCAGATAGCAATATCAGTTCTTAATTTAAAATAACAAGCTTCCTGTGCAAGTTCCCATATTTTGCACATGCAAAAGGAATGAGGTAGGGCCTCTTGTCCAGTTTCACGAGTAATTACTCTGAAGTATAATGGTATGGGTATTTGATCCATACCAGAACCTACTATTTATAAACAAACTTGAACACAGATGTCCATGGCATAGCCTCCATAACAACCAAAACAGATTGAGACCAAAGCATTTCATATAGCAATAAAGTCAGAAGCTATCCCACTGAGGTCATTAGCTGAATGTAAATTATAATTACAGTACAGCATTGAATGATGAACTAGAAAACTTTATTTCCTTCATTAGCCTGAATTATGTTCTAAAAAAAAATCCAAATAAACATTGCAACAGGACAGAACTGAAGAACTGCTTCTTAAAATTAGAACTCCATGTAAGAAACCCAATATAAAAATACAAACCTTCTGTGCACTGTTTTTCTGCGTAAGAGGAGATTTTTCCCATAGCAGGAAGGAGGGAATGTTGTCAGTCTTATGTTTTGCACACACATTTTTTCTACCTTTTTTGTGTCTTTTTTCCCCTGCTAGCGCTAAATGCTTATAGCAGACTCCTATTAAATCCTCACACTACATTTTCATTTGCTATTCTCAGAAATACTGAAGAGTTAAATACTTTCCCTGCCAGATCTGATTAATACATGTGTTCAGATATAAAAATTCCATCAAATAACATATAGGATAATGTCCATTTAGCAAACCCATGCCATTTCACCCGCTCCACAGAAAACCTTGAGGAGGTTGGCAAATTCAGTCTCTAGAGAGACCCTGGTGATATATGGAGTTTGCCCACCTACCAAAGTAAAAATACTTCACAAATGTCTTGAATTGAGAAGCATACTGCTCTAGAAAGTTTAAGAACTATCTGCTAAGCTCCTACAGGATTGCCAATTTTACATCTGGTGTCAGGAAATGCTTTCTCAGCTGCAAAGAAGGAATTCAGTAGAAACAGTGAGTCATGCTACCAGCTTTTGACGTGAAAACCCTGCCAGGGAATGCTTATGGAACACTACTGTTCTCCCTCAGTCTGGGCTCCATGAAGTTTCACTGCAGAGTTTGGAATTGCTACCAACACTCCTTCCTATTCAGTGAAAAAGGCTGTCCAGTAGGACAACATGGGTAGTAATTATCTTGCCTTCATTCTCAATGAGCTTCATTAAAGCTAGCAGCTTATAAAATTGCTGTTTTTGCCTTAGTTGCTTGGTTGCTTTTTGCTTTTAAAAAAAGTTAAGTACATTCATTACTAATTCTTTATTGTGGTTGTACTTTTTTGGTGCTATATTTCCTCTTTTTAGGTTAAATATTTTCTGCTGCATCAGGACTTCTACGCTGCAATACTTAGGAGTTTGGGTTTTAATGTTGTTTTTTTTTAATATATATAAAACATACATGTTTTATGCATTGCCTTTAATGATAGCTAGTTACAACTTTATTTGGGGGAGTTTTATTTGTTTAAAAAAACAATATTTTTTATTACAAGTTTTAGTATGACAATAGAAAGGTGATTCTTTCTGTATTCAGAAAGTATACAGCAGGTTATTATTTGCAGTTTCAATAAAAGTTATACTAATAATACTGGGAAGGAGGGAACGATAGCTTCTAAAAAGCCATTTGCCAAACTGCAGTTAACTAACTTCAGGCAACTACAGTTAATGATTTCCCTTTCTACAGTACGCTAATAGATGAAAGAACCCCACCTTCCCCCGGCAAGTTCATGACTGAAAACCAATAAGATGATAATTATATGGTGAAATGGATGCAATTAGTTTTTGCAAAACAATCTTTTAAGAGGAAAAGGAGCTTTACCAGCAACACAATTAACTGATGACCTCCACCTTACTTTTTAGCACTTCATAATTTGAAAAGCACATGAATCAAATCTACATTTCTAAAGTAGTAAGGCACAGAAAGATTTCACCCTTCATAAAAGAGAAGTAAATGTGATTCAATATCAAGACAGTAGAATCTTTAAGTTGAACAGGCAATGTGCATCCTACTGATTAATTCCCTTGAGCCTGATTCTCAGAAGCAAGGATTACTTTAAGCAGATAACATACTTCAAGCAAAAGAAATGTAGAAACAATTGGAAAAAAACACAAAAGCTCACGAGTCTTCTGATTCTGAAGTCTTCAGCAGCTGTCATGAAGTAAGAGTAATTTTGAATTCCATTCTCCACGTGCAGAAGGAGGGAATATATTCAATGACCACTCAACTAAGTGAAATGAGCTATACTGGCTGCATCGAAACTGGAGAAAAATATTCTGTCAATAGTAACAAGTGCCTGGGCAGTTGAAGTATACTTCAAAGCTGATTCTTGTTAGGGAAATTTATAGTGTTTAATCCCAGTTCTCTCAGACAGCTTTATAACTTGAAAATAAATTAAAAAAAAATAAAAAATAAAAACCAAATCTACCCTCCCAAAGACTCTCAACCTCCTAAATAACATCTCTCCCCACAAAAATAAATAAATAAACAAAGCAACAGTATTTAAAATATTTACTTTAAAAAAAAACCAGTTCTATACTAGCATATTATGAAAGTATTATCACCATCTTTCTTGATCCTTGCTTGAAAATTGAATTAGCAAAAAAGATTTGAATGAAATAGCTTTGTCAAGCAGGACAGAGACAGAAAGCATAACCATTTAGCTGTATAAAAACCTGAGTAACATTGCACATCCAATTGCTGAAGTCTGGTTAGCAAAAGGAATACCAATAACCTAGATAAATTAAAAGTTGCCAATGCAAAATACATAGCTTGACTTGATAGAAAGCATTTTTGAAAGTCCAGCATTTGTAGGGAGGATAAGGACAATCCTTCAGATTTTTACCAGTAATAAATTACTCATTCTATAGGGCTGTGTATCTGTACCGCTGTCTAACATTAACAAATCCTTAACGTTAAATGAATTTTGGAGAACAAGACAAAAAAAAAAAAAAAATCAGCAAAATGTAACAAACCACGACCAAATCTGAGATAGACTACTATATATTGAAATAAATCATATGCTGGGTATGTATCAATTCTTCAGACCAGTTTCAGAAATAAGTTATAAACAAAAATCAGGATGTGGTTGTTACACACTTTTTCTCTACCTCAGAATTTTTACAAAGGATGTTTACCTGACTCTTAAATTTCACCGATGTAGATTGGCTCATGCAAAACCTTTTAATCAGAACATGAATTGTACAAATTACAGTTGGTTTCTATCAGCTACAGTTCAATTAGAATACAAAATCACCCTTGACTGAAGCACCAGTACAAGGTATGCTTTCAGTTCTAAAGAACACCTACTGTAAAATAAGGCAGAATTAATAGATGTTTTTCATTTTGACAGCACAAGTTGAATACATGAGAGAGACCTACATATTTTCTCTCAGAATGGCAAAAAACCTCCGTACTATAGTGTATTAATGAATATACAATTATTATAAAATTAATAAAAATAATTAAAGCAATGAAACATAGGAGATGTCTACATTTATCTACATTTTATCTAGTTTTTAAGCTGTATTGGTGACTTACTAACAAAAAACACAGCCTTTTTGATTGGTTTGTCAGTTATACAAGTAATGTCCACAGCAAAGCACCTCTGAGAGTTTCTGCTTCAGAAGTTAGAAGTTTTACCTGAAACAGGATGGCAGTATAAAAATCAAGTAGGTAAATATAGTTATGTGCACATGAAAACAAAAATCTTTGTTCCAGGTATGTTTAAACTGGAACATATGGCTTGGTGGAAGATGCCCCGATCTAGTTCAGAGATCAGAGCATTACCTATGGGGGAAGTGTACTGTTGTGAGAAGAAACATTACTAGCAAAGCAGTAGAACATTTCTTTTCCATGGCTACATTCCTGGGGATGCAAGATAGTCAAAACAAACCCAGCTGTCATCACTAGCACACCCACAGCAAGGATCAGGCAGGAGATGAGATTATCTGAATGGTTCCATCGCTCTTCAGACAGCCTTAGATAACACGCTGTTGGGATGATAAAAACAAGTGGGGTAGCACTCAGAACTCCCTGCACATGGGAAACAACAATAAGAAAACTCTAATAAGTATGTATACTTAGAACCTGAAGAACAAGAACCTGAAATGGTAAATAGCTGTTATAGATTGATGCAGCAGTAAAGCTGGATAATAGAGGCCTTTTCCAGCACTGCTAAATAGAAAACTTCCTTTTCCAATTCACAAATAGTTTGTAAAAGACTATCTGTGCTTTGGTGATACAGAGTATTTTATGTTTGAAAAACTTCCACTAGATCATTAGATATGATTAGCAGAAGTTTCTAAGAAGCTAGCTTCAGAAGGTCCAAACATAATAGTTCTTCAGTGTGATAACTGACATATAATATTTTTAAAGATCATTTCACCTGGGAGTCTAGACCTGCCTTCAAAGAAGTGGCAATAGCATGTAGCATGTCAAAGAATTGTGATAAGTTTTATGACTTGATTTACAGCAACTTCTCTATGAAAGCTATGCTCCCTTACAGAGTAAACATCCCTTACTAAAAATTCAGCTTCTTTGTTACGCATATAAATATAGATTAAAAGCAAATTATCAAAAACTATAGTAGAGAATGTTGATTAATACTTGAGTAGCAAGCCAATAAATCATTTTATGCACAAATCTTGAACATCTGTCACAAACTTTAAGAAAGCTTTTTGCTTTAACTAAATTATGGTGAGGTAGCAATTCAACATACAGAATACCTTTGCCTCACTGTACACTCTTCTGTACATCTTTATGACAGAACCTGTTAAGAGTGATCAGTACTTGCAAGAAATATTTTTCATAAAAAATAAGACTCATAAGTATGTGAAGAAAGGCAAATCAGCATTATAAGATGCTAAGTCTGTAGACACTCGACTGCCTCATGACTGAATGCTTTCCCTGGAGAACTGACAGCAGACAAACATGCAAGCTTGTGCTTTGTTTTAAAAGCAGAAAACAGTGAAAAGGTAAGCAGTCAAAAGTGGCAGTAAATGCCATCTCCAGAAGAAACCAGAAAGCAGTCCTACTATAGGACCAAAAGTCTGCTGAGATCAGTTCTCCTTCATATACAAAAACCTCATTCATTAATATTAAACTTAGTCCATTCTGCCAGCAGGAAACAAGACCCCAAACATTCTGTGTAAGCACAGTTACATCCCAGAAATACATGTACCTCTAATGTCAACTTGTCTCAAGATATGAGCTACCCACTCAAAAGCCTAGCTAACAACTTCTGTTTGAATCTGAACAGAACTTGGCTTGACTGTTCACTAAATGCTGAGGCCTCTTTAGGTAAACATACTGCATTGATGGAATATTTACTTTTGAGAATTACTTTAAAATAATTCAAATAGGAATTGAATATTTATTGATGCTAAAAAAACTCATTTACTGTTCTCTAATTTAAATGTATTCTTAAAACATATAAAAACTTTATACACACACATATAGAAATAAGATGTGCACACAGTTAATGAGGTTCATTTTACTAGGATTCAGATATTTGATCCAAATAAGCTTGTATACATGCACAAATACAGATATTTTATTAGTGTGTATATGCACACACAAATCAATTTCATTCACTTGTGATATAAAAAACAGGAAAAAAAAAGGTAGAAAAGAAATTACCATGTCACAAGTGAGGACCACTGCTTATTTTCAGATAGTTATAATTTGGAAAAGGCTAGCTGAGAAGAAACTGTGTAGGTAAGCATTTAAAAAAGGAGGGCAACTGGATAGTTCATCTGAATATCCAGACCAGCAGTATAAAATGCAAGCATGCTCTGCAATATCATCGCTAAAGAATCACTCACTACCTCTCAGTGAACAGATAAACTGCACTGTAGATTAGAACAGTGTAAATGTACTTGAATGCATCATGTAGCATAAAAAATAAGCCCCCACATACAGTTTGGTAAACAAAGCGGTTCTCATAAAATCAGGTTATGATATTCATGTACAAAATCATTCAGTTTTGCTCCCTGCTAAACCCAGCAGGTAAAATTTCCAAGTTGCTATGAATTCCTAAAAGAAAGCCATCCAACCACTTGAAGTTTTCTCCCTAAACATTCTCTCTAATTTAATTACATTGCATAATTCCCTTTTCTTCTGAAATTAATATAAACAATTTTAATATTTCTAACTGAATGCAAAAGATTTCTGCTAAAGCTACAGATATATCAGAACTCTGCTTTTTTTTTTTTTTTTTTTTTTTTTTTTACATGATTTATTAAATAGAAGAGTACACAGATTCACTTACATTGAGCTCTAAAACTATTCCAAGGCAATCATACACTAATGATACACCAGTCACCACAGCAATGATCATTACTGTCACAACAATATGGAAAACCGTTGAGAGGCCCCCGTGGAAAAATACATTGGCAATCACCTGAAACAGAATCACAACTTTAAACCTTGATTTTGCTCTCTATTTAAACAAATAGCTTATAACAAATCTTCTATTGTTAAGAAACAAAGAATGGCTGAGAATATACTGATTGAACCTTACCTTTGTTGCTCCAAGAAAACATCATCTGCTTCCAAAAGTAACTCATAACAAATATTAAAAAAATCACAGAACACTTTCCAGACTGGCTTAGTACAATTTCAGGATTCATTTTCCCTTCATTTGGATGTTACAGAATAAACCCAGTTTCTATTGTTTATTGAACAAATGGATTTCCTCAACAGAAATACTTTAATCAGGCAGAACTGAGAGGCATAACAAATATGCTATTTTTAGCTATTCAGCATAATATCAACAGTAGCACTTACACCAATCCTGGAATTCCATGCAGCCCTTATAGCTATTAGTATTATTATATCATTATATTACATTATAATAATATTATATATTATGATATTGCCAGAATCTAAACAGTACATGTACCATCATATTCAGAACAGCATGCAGCAGAACAAGATATGTTGATAACCATTACACATCAACCATTGACTTCAGCAACAAGTGAGAACACTAGTAACATATCAACATTGTTTAAGGGAGAACGTAACACATGCTTACCTCTCTAGTGACAAAACATTCTAGAGGGAAGGTCAGAATTACAGTAACTCCATAACAAAACCTTCCAAACGTAGCAAGGTTGTCATCTCTACAGTAGTTTTCAAATATATCTCCTGAGGTATAGCAAAACATCAATTAGATTGAACTCGCCTCATTTGCTTATTTGTAAACTGAAGAATAAGTTAATAGAATCACTGGAGTAATCAAGACTTCCTAATCCCTTTTCCTCTTACATCAAGAAATTTTAATATATACATATCAGAGTGCCATCTGTCACCTTCCTCTTAGTATCAGTTTTGTTTGAAATGCTGGTGCTTACCTTGGTAGGAAACAGAAAAAGCTTACATGTGACAAGCTTTAATTTAAAAGCTTCCATTTTTAAATGTAAGTCACAGAATAATAACAATTATACAAGGAGACCAGACTCTGTGTAACAGCATTTCCCTTACAGTATCTAATCATAGCTGGTAAGCTGCAGTGAAGAATTTCAAATATTCTGAGCCTGAATGCCCATTATAAATATATGGATTATTAACCAGAACATCTTTTTACATCTAACAACAAAAACATTGATAAAGAATTCAAATCATCATATAGCTTAGTGGTTATAATAGTGAATCTGGAATAACAATCTACAAGACTTAAGAAAGACCTCCAGACCACAGTGAGAAGGGATGTAGTACATTGTCTATCTGGTTATTATACTGTTCTACTATTTACTACTTTCAGGATCACAATGGCAAAGAAGGAATAAAGCATGCTTTAGAGAAAAACATCTGAAAGATTTTGACAGGAGATGCAGAAGAGAAGGCAATGTTTAGTCCTTATTTAGACGTGGAAGCACTCAAAGGGGATTTTCACCAGTGAGGCTTTCACTTGGAATCTGACACCTACTACCATCTATCAGCATCTTTGTACCCTGCCTTGTTTGATGGGTAACTATGAAAATAGTTGTCCTAACTATTTAGGGCCATAATGGGTACAAGTCCACCAAAGTCATACAAAGCTGTTAACAACAGGACCTGAAGTTAAGGACTGCAAGAAAGCATGAAGGTTGAGGAATTGAGTAGTTTACCTTCTGTGTATCCTGTAAAAGTCATGTATCCACATGCAGCAAACAGTACACTGATAACAACAGCAAGTAAAACAGACACATGTGTGATTCGAGACCAGTTGTTTAATGTGGGTTCTTTCAGAGAGCCATATATTAAAAAGCTGTTATGGTGGCAGATGAATGCTGAAATACACATAACAGTTGAAGGAAATGAATGAATTCGTATGTGTACATATAAAATAAATTGACGTGTGTACTCTCTCCAAGGTAGGAGAGTAGACAGAAGTTTGATATTACTCATTACTGAGCACAAACATTAAACCTTCAATGAATGGAACTTCTATCTACTTGATGAAGGTTTATAGTCATATTGAGATTACTTTGATTGCATTACCCTAAAATGCCATAGTGTTTCTTCCCCTCTTCCCCATGAGTATAAAAAAACCATCCCAAAACTTAAAAAAAAAAAAAAAAAAAAAAAAAAACAAAAAAAAAAAAACCCACAAATTCTAGGTTCAAAAATATCCAAGTCATTTCTTAAAGTTGATCTGAAGACTGGAAATACAAAAATGACTTACCAAAAGACATCACCCCAATGGCCTGTATTGCATCTGATTTTGCAAATATCCACGCATTTTCTGATTTGGGTCTAAAACAGAAATTGTTAGTTATATTATGCTCTTTTCAACCATCGGTTACTAAAAATAATTTTGAACACTATGCTGTAACACAGAATTCCTACCTGAATTAGGCCACAGTGTTCATCAATAATAAGTTGAAACCAAAGAGATGCCTTTTTCACCTCTTGTTTTGAGAGAAGTATTCTAGGAACTAATTCTTACAGCTAAAACTGTTTCAGCAACCAGTTATGTAAATAAATTATTCAAGTCATCATTTATCAAGAAACAGTAAATGAGAAGATAAATGCTGTTACAAGCTTTGGATGAGGTCTTCTCAATCCAAATCCTCCGACTATTTGAAAGCATTTTATTCTTCTGAGTTTACACATGTAATGCACTGTTTCTAGAGACTTATTTGTAGACCACACATCAAGTGAGGCAGTTCGTCTTCATTTACACCTTTTTCAACTGTTCCTCATCTTGAAGGAAGCTAGTTCCTAAATTAATGATAAAAGTTGAAGAAAATATACAGAGATGTTGATAACCAGGCAAGAACGCATTATCTTCCATGTCTCTAAGACAGATGCCCAATTTTGGACCTTAGAGAAGGACTACAGAAGCAATCTTCATTAAAATCCATTTGATATATGAAGAAGTTTCCTAAAGAATCAAACTGAAGGGAAACATCCTTTCCCAAATTTGCAATTTGCTAAAAAATATACCTGGAATTCACAAGTTCAGCCTTTTTTTTTTTTTAAATGCTAAAGCATAGACAAAGCACGAGTACAGAAAAGCTTGCTCTTAACAAGTGTACTGCTGCTAGCTTTGATTGCTCCATTTTTATTTACATTTTTTATTTAGTTCTACAAAGGTAACATTGGCAGCTTTGCCTCTCCCTCTACCTGATAAGTGAGTGATTTTGATAGCATAGCATAATCCACTACAGCTAAGTTTCACTGCTAGCAAATTTTTAAACCAAATTAAAGAAAAAAGTTCTGTTGCCGCTAGTTTCTGTTTTGAGTACTCATTATTTCTTCATTACTTAAATAGTCAAGTCTTCCTTTTCCATATTAAACACCTGATTTCTAGTATCCAGTGCACATTCAGCTTAGGCTTAAAACAGCTTTTAAACTACAGATGCTAACCTTAAGAAGAGAACCTGAGCACCAATATCGAGCTCGTTTTTTGAGCTTGGATGCTGTATATATTTGACTAGCATGCAGTTTCTAATATTAAGCACTTGAATACAGCCCTCCTAAAACATACTTCAGCACACAGATGTAATCAAATCTAAGGATTAAATAAATATTGTGCATTTATCTTGTGAAACAGACATTCTGATCAAACATAACTGCTGTTGCTCCTTATATAGAGTAGCTGTCTTTAATTTGATACCAGTGATTTCAAACCACTAGAGATGTCTGTGAATAGTTCATATTCACAATTATTAATGCCTTTTTCAGGAAAATATTCACATTTGATTCAAGAAGCAGTAACAGTATCAAATATAGACCACAGAAAATAACATTACAACTATTCAATTCCATCACCACTAGAGGTCAGCTTTGATATCAAATACACAGAATGGAAATCTGTTGTATCCTTTGATGACACAATTTTTGAAAGTCAACTTAGTGCTTTTCTATTCACAGTCAGTATTTAGATTATCTAATGCCCAACACAGAAAAAAATATTTCTAAAACAAACAGAAATAAAGAATGCATGTATATTAAACACTGCTCTATTAGACAATCACAACAATTCCACACATTTTTCTCTGTGAAAATAGCACACCCTATGAAACTATCCAGCCTTATCAAATTCCTACAAATATGGACTTAAATGGAATTAGAAAGTATATGAATTTTATTTGAAACATTGTGAATGAAGTAGTCAAATAATTTAAAAACAGTCAAAATGTATCAGGAACTGACTTCCCCACTGCAGTGTTAGCTCATGCACTGGCAATATGCAGACTGAAACACTGCTTGGTTTTTCTGAATGAATGGCAAATCAGACAAGGAGGACTACTTGGAAGTGGGGAGGGAGTCCAAAAGAACAAATCCTGTCCAGATCCACGATTTTAACAGTCAGCAAACGCCACGTCATAGCAAGCACATTGTTACAGATGACACATGCAACAGTATACACAGCTCAGCATTTCTTACAGTATGTTACGTAATCCTCCATATATTTTCAAAGACATTCTCAAACCTTGGGAATAGGCAGATCTCACATGTGTGCTATGTAAACTAACAAGTGAAAGGAACACATGAATACTCACTATTTCCAGATTCCAATTAAACTTCATGTAATATATTTGCATAACAAAATTTCATCTAATACATGCTTTTAGGTGAAAGCCAAATGATTTCACAAAGACTTGAGAAATACATGATAAAAAGATCCAGTAGTGAGTATCATGGTCTAGGAACAAGTACGCTAGCCACATGCAGTCTAAGGAAAGCATACATAAATTTATGTTAACATGTAGGTGGGTGCATACAGAGGCTGACAAAGTATACCAGAATACCAGGTAACACTTTACCTGCTTGGCTCTCAAACCTGCTGCTACTTCTAAAGACACTTTTGCTTTGTTTTGACAAGGATCTTTGTTCTGACCCAACCTGATCTACTTAATTGTTACTGGAACTGTGAGTGAAAGATTTCATCTTCTGCTCTCACAAGAACAGCAGTAGCTGTGAACACCCACAAATGATAAAAAGTAAACCAACTTATTTCTTCACTTTCAGTTTATAAAAACAAACTATGCATGATAAAGGTTTTTCCTCATGCTAGAGAAGAAGCAGAACTCAGACAAAACACAAAAAGTTAATATTTGTGATGCTAAATGCATTTAGAGAAAGCTGTACTATCTATAATATATAGAACTTACAAAGCAGCATTAATGCTTGATAGACAATGTAACTGTGATTGCTAAACAGCACAGACAAGGTAAAGCAATATATCAACCCTACTTAGAGCTACTTAAATCTCCATTTTTCCTTAATGAAGAAAGGGTCTGTAAATACAAGCTTGAGTCTTACTGTTTTGAATTTCACCACAATAAAGTTTGTCTTCATTTACCATTGGCTTAAATATAAAGAATCAACTTTCTACTTTCAAGTTATTTTTCTGAGCAGTTACTGTGATCAGCTGCCAGTTGAGTAATTCTCACACTCTATTTATGTGTAGCAATTTTCAAGTTTTTTTTTCCTGTACATTTTGTTTGTATAACACAGATACTGGCATCATGACATTCTTCCCAAAAGAAGATAAAATTAAAGTGATCCATCTTTATAAGATACTTAAAGTATTGCTGTATATTTGCAGTATTAAGTTACCTGAAAGCAGTGTGAGATAACTCTAATCCACTGGCTTTGATCACAGCAGATAATTTCTTAGCTGCATCAGGTGGAAATAGAGCAAGTAATAGGTCATCTAAATGCACTTTTTATCCAACATCTTAAACTACTGAGAATAAGAGCAGCAGATTTTACTTGCAGGAACATTACATCCTTCAAACAATAAGAGAATAGCCTATCCTAATCAAAAGTAAAAAAAATACCTCAGTTTCATATTTGTCATAAGAGGAAATTAAATCAAGTAATCCCTCAACAGAAATACAGGTCTTCTCTGCCCCAAGTAACAAGAAATGAAAACTCATCATGTTCCCAATTGACTCTCCCCATTCCCAAAGCGACTAAAATATAAAACAAAACACAACACTCCTAGGCCACACAAGTGCTGTTTTTAGCCTACGGTTTCAAACACATGAAATCATTGCAAACGATAATTTTACAATAAACTTCATGAACAGAGTAAAAGAAAGCAAAAACTGCCAGCTCATAATTCCGCAGAGAAGTGTTTGATATTTATACTAGATTGACAACTCAAGGATATTCACCTCAAGTCATTTCACAAAACAGAAAATATCAAACCACATAAACAGGAGCTTTACAATCCCCAAAGAACACAGCTGAAAGGGGACTCGAGACACTATGGATGTAAGATACATCAAACATTAGAAGTGAGACTATGATGCCTCTGCTTTATTTACAGAGAACTTAAGGTAGCAATTTTGAAGAGGTATAAGAAAAGCGACAGTACTGGAACTGTGTTGAACTTATAGAAAGAATTACCAAAGGGAAACAAGTTACAGCTTATTATAGGAGTTTAAGCATTAGGAAAGGAGGGAATAGTTTGCTGTCCATATTCACTATGTTTAGATTGAGAGACAGTGAATGTGGAATGTAGCAGGAGAAACACAGTCAAGAGAACTTCCTAAATGAAGCTAGTTAAGAACAGGACTGGAAAAAAAATCAAGAAAAAGCTGAACAATACCTGTCAGCTGTAATAGATCTACAGTCAATTCTGCCCTGTTACAACAGCAGAGATTAAATATCCTTTCCCAGCTCCATCAAGACTTGCTATAGTTGGGCAAGTTATTTTCCTGTATGAGGATCTTGGGTGGTATCATAACCATATTTAAGAAAATCTCAAAACTCCTCTTTTATTGAGAAGGACTCAAGTAAATGCATTACTTGTTTTACTTGCTGAAATACAAGATTGGGCACATTATAGTCATAATAAAGAACACACTTTACATGTTTTAAAAATGAGAGAGCAAACTGCTAACAAAATATTAGAATAGGTCTTTAATAATTCCAGTATATATTAAGTAAACTGTAAAAGAAAGGTGGAATGATTATGAGGTAAAAAAGTGACTAACAGTTTATTAATGTGTTAGATGAACTTATGAAAATAAGTAGCACAATAGGAAAGCAAGCATGAAGGCAGAAGGAAAAGACACTAAAGAATGAAGTGGTAAGACATAAAGAACTACTCAAAAAGCAACACAACTTATTTTAAGAGACAAAGCCATGTACTTCATATATTTCGATGCACAACCGCTGTTGAGAAAAAGCGTTACCGTAGTAACAAAGTCAGAAGTAGCTTCTATATATAAACTTCTTCCTTTTTCAAAAGGGAATTTTGAGATTTCCCTTCCAAATACACTTTTAACACAGTAAGAAAAACAAGTCACTTAAGGAAAAATGAGGGCAAGAACACAGGTAGAAATCCCATGCTATTTCAAGTTCTTTATTTCTGTGGATGACGCTACTTCCCTGGCACAACTTTGTAAATTACTACTTTAGTTATGTTGGAATCACAGAAGGGCCTGGGTTAAAAAGGACCACAATGATCATCTAGTCTCAACCCTATGTCCACAGTTGTCAACCACCAGACCAGGCTGCCCAGAGCCACATCCAACCTGGCTTTGAGTGCCTCCAGGGACGGGGCATCCACAACCTCCTTGGGCAGCCTGTTCCAGTGTGTCACCTCCCTGAGTGAAAAACTTCCTACTAACATCTAACTTAAACCTTGCCATCTTATTTTAAAACTCTTCCCCTTCGTCCTATCACTATCAACCCATATAGACTCTTGTAACCCCTCCTGCTTATACACGCCCTTCAAATATTAGAAGGCCACAGTGAGGTCTCCCCAGAGCCTTCTCTTGCCAGCATTAAAACACAAGTGTCCTACAATTAGCTCTTGTGCATTTTTCTGACTGCTGTGATATATTTGTGTGCCAATGTTTAAGTAATCACAATGGAAGAATCCACTCCTTCCAGAAACATTAAAAACACTTTATGAATTTCCAATAAATAAAACAGCACATTCAGAAACTGTTTGCCATCTTTATTACCTTCACATTCAAAGGATAAGGAACAAGGGATAAATCAGACCATCTAGGCCAATAATGAAAGTTACTAGATTAATAACACTTTTTTACACTATAATTATAGAAATATTGCCACAGCACACAGTCACGAGTGTATTTACGTAGAACATTCCAATATCCAACATGAAACACTACTTTCAGAGCACAAATGCTGGAAAACACTTTTGCCTGGTCGTATGTTTTCTCAAATGACAGAAAGTCATTCGACTTCTGTTATTGTATTGTTCACTTATTTTCCTTATTTCAATTTTTTGAAATAAGGAATTTCAAATTTTATTATGAAATCATTAACATTAACAAAAAAATACTGCTAAGATGCTATCTGTTTTGGATTCCTGATATTGGCCAGCTGACAGTAATGGACAAATAGACAAATTCTCAAATGACAGGCAATCTCACACTGAAGAACTAGCTGCTATTACAGGGCTCACCAACATTTTCCAATTCATCTGTCGGGCTTTTTTTGAGACTTTGTAACTTTGCATATATGCAATGGAAGGAAGAAAAAAATAGATTCAAATTTTAGTAGTTCATTTTTTATTACTATCAGTAGAAATTGACTTCTTTAAATATATGTTCCTACCAAAACAACCACATTCAAAACTATAGACAAAATAAGAATGATGCAACTGATTATACATCCCAAAAGTTTGCTTTCTAGCAAGGGTAAGAATACTTACACCTGTGGACTGAGCGTTACTGTCCTCACCATCACAATAACCAGGATGACAACAGTTAAAAGCAGAGAAACAAGAGATACCTGTAAAACACACAAATTCAGTCAGTAAACTGCTGAAAAGATCTATTCTAAGCAGTGCAATTTTTAGAAAGACTTATTAACCAGCTACATTTCTAATTATCACATCAAATATTTATATTTATAATTGTGTGGCTTGTCCTACACCATCATCACCTTTTCATTTGTTATTCTCCTTAGATAAGTGACAAATTGCAATTTAACAGTAAATTGCAGTTTAACAGTAAGATATATTTCCATTTAAATATTTGTCATCAGTAGTGCTCAGTATTTCAAGACCTGACTTGCAACACATACTGCTCTAAAAAAAATAATAAAATATCTGCATCTACTAACAGCAGATGGGAAAAACTAGCCATTCATGTAGAGACCGAAGTTTTGTTTATACTTCTTTAAGTTGTCTGGTATTTCCTGGGTCAGAAAATGGTCTGAACTTCAAAAATATTTAAATTTGTTGCATCTAGTTGGATGCAATTCAATTCAAATACCTCGAGTTATGCATGACTGGCACTTATTTTCTAATGGCATATAAAAAAAGTTTACCTTTCCCAATTTTGCTATGTCACGATACAAAGATAAAGGCAAGGTAAAGATGATAGTGGTAAAAAGAATTATGAAGCGACGATCAACAAGCACATTTTCTGATCCAACTGAAACAAAGAAGCAAGTAAGTTACTTCTCTAAGAGGCTGACATGAGAAATATATTAGTCACACTCAGAAGTCTAACAACTACAAACTTCAATGCTAAGCACATTTCAAGATAAATAACAGTGAAATAAAGTCTAAGTATTAACAGGGATGCTATACAGAGCACATGCACAATCAGAATATTTCTGCAAATTTAACCAACAGTTCATCCTACATGCAAGTGTAATGCTCTAATCGGATAATAACAGCAGGGTGGCAAAGTCCTTGCCTACAGCAAAGAACAAGACCAAATACAGCAGCCATGGATACAGAAATGAAGGAAAAGAGCTGCTTACCTTCAGAAGGCCTCAGGAACACAGGAATACCCAGAAAGAGATGCCCTCAACTCCACTGCCAACCCTTAAAAGATCCTACTCCACACCTTCCTGTCACTCAGAGGCACTGCACACACCTGAGCTGCCCTGGGTTGGCCCTGTCTTCCCACCAGGTGCTCAATCACTGTTTCAAGCTATGACTAAGTATTTCCACTACAGTTATGCACATATCCAACTCTGGAACTGTGGCATTTGTACATAGAGATTACTACTAATCCCTTCCATCATAACTGGATCAATGTTGGCAGACTGTAAGTAAAACTAACATTTCTTCCTGGATATACTGCTTAGGATTTTTTTTTTTTTTTTTTTTTTACAGTGCTGAGATCAATTGTTGTGCAGCAAAAGAGCAGCAAACTCTCAAAAAACAGCTGCAAAAAAGTTCATTTGGGAGGAAGGTTCGTCTTAGAATCTCTTTTCTTAAAGTCACCTGCTCTTTTTTATCACATGAGGGCAAAAAAGAAAAATGGTATAA